AATTCTTACATATTTATGTAATGTACTTTAATGGAAAGAAAAATTACAAATAGCATACCATATTAGTATAAAAGGGTCTTCAGCCAAGTAAGACTGAACAAAATTTAGGGTCAATTTTGGCCGTAGCACTTATTAAATTTAAAAATGCATACTGAAGCTATATATAGGAAATAAAAAATTTGTGTCAACTTTTATGTACCAAGCTCCTCACATTTAACTTGATCCAAACAGGGCGTTAGACTAGGGTCATTTTTACAACACATTTTGCACATATTGTATGAGATAATCTTCTATTTTGTAGATTCAGAGTTCACAAATGAGTAATACAACTTGATTAAAGCATAGAAACACAAATATTGACACATGAAAGCCTGTCACATAGAAAGTCAGAATGCCACTTATGCATCAAAATTGAAAAAGCTTTGAAATGTTTATTTTGACCATATAATGCCAAAATGGGTCATTTTTGCTGAGTTTCTATCAAATAAAAGTTTAAATCCTTTTGTTTAAATTGCTATTTGACAAATAGGCACCATTAAATCATTCAGGGAAGTTGCCAAAGTACAGATTCTATATTTTCTGATTTCACCTCTTAGGTTCCTAGACCATGTAGACCACAATTCTTTTGTAGTGCATTTTTTTAAGACAAAAAATGAAAATAAAAAAAATCCCACCTGCGCTTTCTCAATAATATATTTACAGTGTGTTGTACTACTTTTTTGGACAAATTATATCAATATATATAGAAATTTTGAACAGCTCTAACTCAAAATATGAACAATTTTATGTTAAGGGGGTCTTGAAATCTTTTGACAGAGTCCGAAGTGCTAATTTTTAACCTTTTTCAGCTGGACCAAATCACTACTTTACTTTAAAATTCATGACCCAAATTTTTTTACAGTGTAATTTCCTTCCTCTACTTGCTATTTGAGGCAAAAGACATGAAGAAATACATTTGGAAGGGGTATAAAAAAAAATGGCAAGTAACACACTGTCCACACTAGGGACTATATTCGTGGACAACTAAAAACGAGGGACAATAACTGTGTTCCGGGACCATGTAAATTCAGAAATTATTGTGTGAATTTGTTATTGCAATTTTTGAGAAATAAACAATAAGGCATGTTTGATTTACCGGTATGCCATTTCAGGAAAATCTTAATACCGATATATGTATAAGACATTGTAAGATATATCAGAATGCTGGTTTTTATATGACCGCAAAAAATTTTTGCGGTTGTATATTGGTATGACGTTGTCATCGTCGTCCGAAGACACATTGGTTTTCGCACAATAACTTTAGTTTAAGTGAATGGATCTCTATGAAATTTTACCATAAGGTTCAATACCACAAAAGGAAGGTTGGGATTGATTTTGTGGGTTATGGTACCAACAGTTAAGGAAAAAGGGGCCAAAAATAAGCACTTTTGTAACTTCCAGATAATAACTTGTGTGTTAGTGTATGGATCTCTCTGACGTTGTACCACAAGGTCCCATATCACAAAAGGAAAGCTGGGTTTGAGTTTGGGGTAATGGCTCTAAACGTTTAGGAATAAGGGGCCAAAAATAAGCATTTTTCTAGTTTCCAGACAAAAACTTGTGTTTAAGTGTATGGATCTCTCTGAAATTGTACTGCAAGGTACCGTACCACAAAGGGAAATCTGGGATTGATTTTGGGGGTAATTGCCTCAAAATTTTAGGAATAAGGGGCCAAAAAGGGGCAAAAAACAAGCATTTTTCTAGTTTCAGGACAATAACTTGTGTGTAAGTGTATGGATCTTTATGAAATTGTACTACAAGGTTCCATATCACAAAGGGAAAGCTGGGTTTGAGTTTGGGGGTAATTGCCCTAAACGTTTAGGAATTTTGGGCCAAAAAGGGGCCAAAAAACAAGCATTTTTACAGTTTCCAGACAATAACTTGTGTTCAAGTGTATGGATCTCTCTGAAATTGTACTGCAAGGTACCATACCACAAAGGGAAGGCTGGGATTGAGTTTGGGGTAGATGAATCATAAGGGGGTTCAAAAAATTGGGAGGGATTTTTTTTTCCTTTTTTTCCTTTTTTTTTTTTCTTTAAAATTTTCCAGTATAAGTTGGTTATTTTTGATTTATATTTAAAAGCAAATAATAATGATATGGTTTGATTTCATCAAAAATTGAAATATTGGGGTTCTTTGATATGCTGAATCTAACCGTGTATTTAGATTCTTAATTTTTGATCCCATTTTCAAATTGGTCGACATTTAGGTCCAAAGGGTCCAAAATTAAACTTAGTTTGATTTTAATAAAAATTGAATTCTTGGGGTTCTTTGATATGCTGAATCTAACCGTGTATGTATTTAGATTTTGGATATTGGACCATAATAGGTAAATTAAAATTTTTTCAGTTCTTAGACCACATTCATTCTGTGTCAGAAACCTATGCTGTGTCAAATATTTAATCACAATCCAAATTCAGAGCTGTATCAAGCTTGAATGTTGTGTCCATACTTGCCCCAACTGGGTTCGACCTCTGCGGTCGTATCATGCTGAGCCCAGCGGAGCATTTTATTTTATAATGTAAAAAGTCACAATTTAATCCTTTGGAAAAAAAGTCACCTGAAAAAATTCATAGGAAGTAAATTTACAGAGTAAAATTATCTAAATAGGGTGTTTGAATTTCACCATAGAAAAGGGACTAAAAACATATGAATGAAATAAACAAGTTGCTTTTTAAAAAACAAAAGACAATACATGAACCTTAGAACTTTTTTATTCTAATTATTAATTCAACTGAATAAGAAATTATATATCAGTGTTATCTTGGCCATGTGTGTGGAGGATAATATTTTCTTTTTATTGTAAATCATTACAATTTTGGCATGTTGAGAGAAGTGTTAAATATAAAGCAAGGAGAGAAAAAAAAAGATTCCCAGACGCATAACTTCTTAAAGAATAATAATAATTCAAAACATGGAGGACACATGTACATTCTTCCAAAAATTCATAAAATTAATCTAGAAATAAGTAATGAGGCATTGTGAACTGGTCAGCTAGCAGGACACATTAATGTTCGTTACCGACCAATCATCAATAAATTCAACGTTAACTCTCCCGCGAGAGATAATTACTTGATCTAATTATAAAACCATTATTGAAGAGGCATAACTTTTACATTCAAGATAAAAAGATTTCATTAATAAAATAGAGTCCACGAGGTCAAAAAAGAATGCATTCTTATTGCCTATGATGTACGTCAAGGTACACAAATATGATCATTGATAATTTAGAAGAAACTGTTATCAATGCATTAGAATTAATTGACACACAGGAGAATATACTTTAAAGATTCTCAACAAAATAGATTTAACTTCATTTGTTAAATTAATTCTTAGAAACAATGAATTTGAGTTTAATGGACTGTTATACAAACACATTATATTTATAGGAGCGCCCATGGGTGGTATATTTTCACCAACATGCACAGATCTGCATCTGTCTGTCCTATTTATTAAAATCTTAGATAAGTTCCAATGGAGAGAAAACATCAAATTACACTGTCAATAGGATTCCAATAGGGATGACGGTGTTATGGTCTTCACAGGCAAATTAGAGCAAGTTGAAGATTTCTTTAACCTAGCAAACTAAATTGACCATCTACTTTAGTTCTAATATGAGGTGTCGACATCTAGTATGACCTATTTAGAGGGTGGTAAAGGCTTATTTTCGTGCAACGTTTTCAGCCTTTTTATTTACGTGATTTCGTGTTTCAACGTTTTATTTCTCGTTTTCACGTGTTTGGTTCGACGTGCGTGCTTCGTGTTTTCCCTTAATTATTTTCTGTGTTTCGTGTCGGTACTCATATTTTCTCGTGCTTGTCCCGCATTTGATTAAAAAGTAAACCATGCAATACTCACAGAATGCTTGTTTTCTTAAGCTTTGGAAATTTAGATAAAAAATTTAAAGCAAAAGAAATTTGTACAAGCTCAGACAGGTGTACTGATACATGTTTAATTGTACATTTGTAATTATTTTTGTTTTCATATCTTTTTTAAAGTAGATGTGAGTTAGACAGCTCAATATTAAAAAGGGGCACTAGCTGTCAAATTCATGTTCACCGATTTGACTCAAATTCTCATATTTGTTTTATAACAATGTAAAACATTTATCCAAATTATAAAAAGTCTAAAATAAACAGTTTATAGGGCATGGCCATGATAATATGTAGCTTCGTTTCATGTGTATTTTAGTCTAAACGCCATCTAATAATAAAAGTTCACATGAATACAGATTCAATGAGGTCGAATTATTCACTTGCAAGTGAATAATTCATCATCAATGTTTCTCAGCTTATTTTGACCAAATTGGACCATACTGGCTGCTTAAAGCGAATTATTATTCCATTATTTCACTTTCATTAATGTTTGAACCAAAAAAAAATCATAATTTATTTTTTTTATGTATCTTATAGCTAGTGCCCTTTAAGTGAATTTGAGTCATTAATTCTATTATATGGCTTGCCCATATGTCATTTTGATTTTTTTGTCTATATAGCTGTGTTTTTACCAATAACATGAGAATTCTTCAATTTAGTGTTAAACATATCATCCCCATTAATGATGGTTTAGTGATTACAACAATTATTGATAGGGACTGTTAAGATTATTTATAGTGGCTATTTGTGGCACATTTCCCCTTTTTGTAGACCATTCGCTTCTGGTCTTTGTAGGAAGCCATACTGATGAAATACATCTTCATTATTACAGAGAAGGAAACAATAAGCTTTTTCTGTTTCTTTAAAACTAAATTTTGAAAAAAAACACCATAATAACACTTTTATTATAGTTAATATCTATGTATTTAATTGTTCAATCATTTATAAAAATATGAGGAAACGTATTAAATATAATTTTGTTTACTTCAACTCGTTTATATACATTAAAAAATGTATCACTGAAAATAATTGATCTGTTACAAGTGTTTTATGAATTTTATCTATGCATTTAAAAACTCCATTTTAATTGTTTATTTCATACATATGACTTTTTGATTTGCATTCCAACATATCATATATAATTGTGACTTTTTTCCTAGGCATTTTGTGACTTTTTTCCTTTTTCATAAATGCACAAAGAGACGTTAACTCATTTAATTTTCATTTACATTTGGAAAGGTATTTTGATATGAATTTAAGTTTGCAACTTATTTTTATGCCCCATTATTATGCCCCATTTATGGGCATTATGTTTTCTGGTCTGTGCGTCCGTCCATTCGTTCGTCCGTTTTCCGTTCGTTCGTCTGTCCTTCCGTTCTATCAACTTGAAACTTTGTACACATGTTCCTTATGATATGGTCTTTCTAATTTTTATGCCAAATTAGAGTTTTGACCCCAATTTACGGTCCACTGAACATAGAAAATGATAGTGCGATTGGGGCATCCATGTACTATGGACACATTCTTGTTTAAGAAATGAAATAATATATATTTATTTATTTCAGTGAATCAGACCTATGTGGTACAGAGAGGTCAACAGTATTATTATACAACATGGCATCAAGCAGCAAACAAAAGTGCATGTGTACAATCTGTAATGGAAAGACTGTTCCAAGAAAAACATTCAAAATACATTGCACAAAGACCCATGCTAGTCATCTGAACTCAATATCACAATTGGACAATGTTTCAACGGACAGTTACAGTAAAAAAGTACAGGCACAGCAAGAAAAGAATGATCTTCAGGAACCATTGTATAAAGGATCTTCTAGAACATTGATTGAAGCTATATCAGAACATTTTCTTATATTTTCATCAAACAGTGGAATGTCCAAAGCAGCTTTAACTGAGTGCTTACAGCACGAGAAACGCATCATGCCTCAACCGAATAGTTTACCAGCTTTATACAAGGAAGCAGTTAAAATGATCAAACCAAGTTTAATTCCTATTAAACAGTACAAATGTTGTGTGAATGACTGTAAAATATATCCAATGAATGACAGTATCCGTGAGTGCACCATTTGTACTGAATCACTTCTGTATAAAGACAGCAATCGTTGTAAGAAGACATTCAGCTATATGCCAGTTGTTCCAAGACTTGCTCGTTGGTTCGGAACAAAAAATTTTGCGAAAATACTTTATGCAAAGAAACTCGACACAAATGGTAAACTGTGTGACTATACTGATGGACAAATATTTCAAGCAGAATTAGATAATGGTATATTTAAAGACACTGATGTTGAGCACTGTGTACCACTTGCACTATTTACTGATGGTGTTAATCCCAACAAAAACAATGCTGCTCAGAAGTCTATGTGGCCTATCATCTTGACTTGGATATCATTGCCTCAGGAGATTCGCTACCTTCTGGGACCAATGATGTTGGTTGGCATTATCCCAGGGAATGGCAGAAAAGAGCCTAAGTCTTTGGATCCATATATCACAATATTGGTTGATGAGTTGCTATCCAATATGGAATGTCAGCTTTATGATTCCCACAAAGATGCTCCAGTGACAGTTAAGATAGCGCTTCTTCAATATCTGTGTGATATTCCAGCCTTTGCAAAATTACTGCACTTATCAGGTCAAGCAGCATTAAGATCATGCACGTTCTGCAAAGAAGTTGGTGTAAGGAACAATTCCCTGAACAAAACAATCCACATATCAAACAGACAGTTCCTAAGTGATGATTCTGCCTATAGACTTGACTGCACAAACTTTGCGCTTAAAACTGTTGTCAACGGTCCAAAGCCTGCGTTTTACTCTAAAGATGAAGAAATGGCAGCACGTAAAGATTTTGATTCGAAACCGAACAAGAACCAAAAGACCATCCACCAGAAAGAAACTGGTTTAAGAGGCATTCATCCCTTATATCCACTTCCTTATTTTGACAGACTAAAGCAAATGCAAACCGATGGTATGCATACCATTTCAGATGTTATTTCAAATGTGTTAGATTTCATTAGTGGGAAGACTGACAGTGCAAAAGTGCGAAATTGTGAGAAGCAATACAACAGATTTGAGCAAACTTGGGTGAGCAATAAGAGAAAGAGTACAGATCAGGGAAAACAACCAAAAAAAACCCAGAAAAAACAGTCAGAGCCCCAGCCTACAAATGTTGTCACAGAAGAAGAAATCAGCTTTCCAGATGCTCCATGGTCTCTCTCAAAGAGTTAAGTAAAACTTGCTGACAAAAGAGCAGAATCTATACAGTACCCTCGAGGTTTTGACTATACACCTGCTGACCATTTCTCCAGACAGTGGACACTACGTACAATGCATGGAAAGCAACAGGTAAGTTGTTTAATAAAATTTAATAATAGAACATTTCTAGTGCTTGAAACAGAAAGTAGACAATAATAGAACTTTATGCACTTTCTTACCAAACATAAATCAGAAAGTGTTTTTTAATAAAAACAAAATTTAGATTAATATATGACTCATAATGTTAAAAATTATGGAAATGTATCATTTCAATTATTTGTGCTTGTAGTTAAGTCTTTCAGTTTTTATACGACCGCAAAAAAATTTTTGTGGTCGTATATTGGTATGACGTTGGCGTCGTCGTCGTCCGGCGTCGTCGTCGTCGTCGTCGTCTGGCGTCGTCCGGCGTCGTCCGAAGACACATTGGTTTTCGCACTCTAACTTTAGTTTAAGTGAATGGATCTCTATGAAATTTTACCACAAGGTTCAATACCACAAAAGGAAGGTTGGGATTGTTTTTGGGGGTTATGGTACCAACAGTAAAGGAATTAGGGGCCAAAAAGGGGCCAAAAATAAGCATTTTTGTAACTTCCAGACATAACTTGTGTGTTAGTGTATGGATCTCTCTGACATTGTACCACAAGGTTCCATATCACAAAAGGAATGCTGGGATTGATTTTGGGGGTAATTGCCTCAAAATTTTAGGAATTAGGGGCCAAAAAAGGGGCAAAAAACAAGCATTTTTCTAGTTTCATAACAATAACTTGTGTGTAAGTGTATGGATCTTTCTGAAATTGTACTACAAGGTTCCATATCACAAAGGAAAAGCTGGAATTGAGTTTGGGGGTAATTGCCGAAACATTTAGGAATTGGGGGCCAAAAAGGGGCCAAAAATAAGCATTTTTCTAGTTTCCAGACAATAACTTGTGTTCAAGTGTATGGATCTCTCTGAAATTGTACTGCGAGGTACCATACCACAAAGGGAAGGCTGGGATTGATGATGGGGGTAATTGCCTCAATATTTTAGGAATTAGGGGCCAAAAAGGGGCAAAAAACAAGAATTTTTCTAGTTTCAGGACAATAACTTGTGTGTAAGTGTATGGATCTTTCTGAAATTGTACTACAAGGTTCCATATCACAAAGGGAAAGCTGGGTTTGAGTTTGGGGGTAATTGCCCTAAACGTTTAGGAATTTGGGGCCAAAAAGGGGCCAAAAAACACATTTTTCTAGTTTCCAGACAATAACTTGTGTTCAAGTGTATGGATCTCTCTGAAATTGTACTGCAAGGTACCATTCCACAATGGGAAGGCTGGGATTGAGTTTGGGGGTGATGAATCATAAGGGGGTTCAAAATATTTGTGGGGGGGGGGATTTTTTTTTTTTTCATTTTTTTTTTCTTTTAAAATTTTCCATTTTAAGTTGGTTATTTCTGATTTATATTTAAAAGCAAATAATAATGATATGGTAGGAGATACACACCAAAAAGGATGTGTAAATTATTATATAATAAGTATTGTGCAATAGCAAGAAATTTTCAATTGCGCAGTATTGCACAATAGCAAGAAATCTTCAATTGCACAGTATTGCGCAATAGCAAGAAATCTTCAATTGCACAGTATTGCGCAATAGCAAGAAATATCCAATAGCACAATATTGCGCAATAGCAAGAAATTGTCAATTGTACAGTATTGCGCAATAGCAAGAAATATTTAATTGCACAGTATTGTGCAAAAGAAGATACTTCGTATAAATTGCTTATTTCTTGACCAATTTCAATGGGGTTTTATTCTTGAATTCTTGGGTTTCTTTAATATGCTGAATCTAACCGTGTATTTAGTTTTTTGATTTTGGGCCCCGTTTTTTTAATTGGTCCAAATTGAGGTCCAAAGGGTCCAAAATTAAACTTTGTTTGATTTCATCAAAAATTGAATTATTGGGGTTCTTTGATATGCGGAATCTAACCATGTATTTAGATTCTTAATTTTTGGTTCCGTTTTCAAATTGGTCTACATTAAGGTCCAAAGGGTCCAAAATTAAACTTAGTTTGATTTTACCAAAAATTGAATTCTTAGGGTTCTTTGATATGCTGAATCTAAACATGTATTTAGATTTTTGATTATGGGCCCAGTTTTCAAGTTGGTCCAAATCGGGGTCCAAAATTAAACTTTGTTTGATTTCAACAAAAATTGAATATATGGGGTTCTTTGATATGCTGAATCTAACCATGTATTTAGATTTTTGATTTTTGGGCCGCGTTTTCAACTTTGTCCACATTGAGGTCAAAAGGGTCCAAAATTAATCTTTGTTTGATTTCATCAAAAATTGAATTCTTGGGGTTCTTTGATATGCTGAATCTAACCATGTATTTAGATTTTGGATATTGGACCATAATAGGTGAATGTCCAATTTAAAATTTTTAAGTTCTTAGACCACATTCATTCTGTGTCAGAAACCTATGCTGTGTCAAATATTTAATCACAATCCAAATGCAAAGCTGTATCAAGCTTGAATGTTGTGTCCATACTTGCCCCAACTGTTCAGGATTCGACCTCTGCGGTCGTATCAAGCTGCGCCCTGCGGAGCATTTTATTATACCTAGCTAAGGTAGGCTAGGGGTGTTGTTTACACCAGGGTAATTAACATATATACGATTTCAGAACTCCTGGCTCATAGGGAAAAAACAATTATCCATCACAGTCCAAACAACATACAATGTATGTGTAAGCCATATAAGTCAGTGCACAATTACATCCTTAAACATTGAGCTAAACACATACTGAAAAGTAACAGACATACTTTGATCTATAATGGTTTACCTTTTACTAATTGTGACTTGGATGGAGAGTTGTCTCCTTGGCACTCATACCACATCTTCTTATATCTATGCAAACAGTCAGTCAAACTTATAAACTGATGAAGCAAAATATAAAAATTATAATGTTGTATGATCATGATGATTACTAATTATTATAAGACAACTGTCCACCATAAAAAATAAAATTCAAACTTGATCTGTAGTTTGTAGTAATATGCATTGTGTATAAGTTTCATAACATTTGGTTGAGGCAAACTTAAGTTAGAGAACGGAAACTAAAAATTTAGCAATTTTCCATTTATAAAGGGGCATAACTCTAGAATGGTTAAAGTGACGCCACCAAAATTCAAACTTGATCTGTGTTTTGTGGTAATAAGCATTGTGTATAAGTTTCATAATATTTGGTTGAGGCAACCTCAAGTTAGAGAACGGAAACCAATTTTGGGACGTATGGACAGACATACGTACGTACAGACGGACAAGGGTAAAACTTAATACCCCCTCCGCTACGGCGGGGGCATAAAAATGACAAGGATGAAATCAACAAAACAAAGATAAGATTGGTTCAGATATTTGAATGCACACATTTAAACAAAATTTAAACCATACTTTAAAAAGAATGATACAAATAAGAAATAATTTAGAGATGGGAGAGGAAAGGATTTTATGAAATAAGCTTTTTTTTTTAATTAACAAGCTTGAACTTGAAAAGTTGGCAAATATGAAAAATGGAATGTGCTGAAAATTAGAATAGCTGTATGTACATTTACATTTTTAAATGAACTTTTCAGTTTGTGACTCAAAATGTTGCTTCATGGTGTCTAAGAGGTCTACTAGGACAGCAACAAGAGAAGACACTTTTTCAACTATTTGATGTGTTGAGCAGACTTGTTAAACCTTCATACCTGAAAGATGAAATTCCAACTTTGATAGAAGACACCCATATTGCTGTGACACTACTTGAGAGAGATTTTCCACTTACGTTACAGGTATTTTGTTATAATATATTTGAATATGCATGTACTGACAAATTAAAGCACTGCAAAGATGATCAAATAAAAAGACCTACTGTAAACAAACTTATTTTCGCGAGTAGAAAAATAACCATATATAAATCATCGCAAATATGTAAAACTTGGATCTTTTCTTATCAAACTACATCAAGTAAATTAGAAAATTGCTAAATTAAATGGCCGTGAAGTGGACCAGAAAGGGTAAAACGCTAATTAAAGTATCCGTGAAAATAAGTTGGTATACAGTAATTGAATAGGTTTGTCAATTTTCCTATCAAAGGTCAGTTTTTTTCCAGGATTTGATTTGTTCTTTTTATGCTATTATTTTTATCTCGCTAGTAAGGAATACTTATTTTTAACTTTTATATTCAAAGGAAGATGTGGTATGATTGCCAATGAGACAACTCTCGACAAGAGACTAAAAGACTCAGAAATTAACAGCTATAGGTCACTGTATGGTGCTTAAAATTGCTTTTGTGTAGATTATACATGAAAAAGCATGTTTTTTGTTATAAGAAAGAAAGCTTGATAAAAGTTTTTAAAAAAAAAGAGAAGTTATAAAATTCATGTTCTTGCGACAAGTAAAATAAGAAATTTCTTAAGCATTCCTATATAAAATTATTTATTTTAAAAGTTATCTCCCTTTCTATGGTTATTTGATAAGGAGCAAAAATTAATAAAAGATTGAGAAATAGTCGTTTTGTTTTTAATAGTTTCTTCTTTATTTATATACGACAGTCTTATACTTGAATTGTCTAAAAATTGACAGCATTAGGTAAAGAACAATAGGATTATGTAAAGGTACACTGTAACAGTGAGGTTTTTGAAAACAGAAAAAATCTCAGCACGTTTCAGACTGACCCATAGCATTGATTAAAATGTTTTTCAACTGAACTTGTTCACCATTTAAATTTTACATGACCAAAGTAGTTTTAAATTGCACTGTCCAGTGTCTACATGATGTTTGTGATAAGTAATTAAGCTCTCATGTCATTTGCCATATTTTAACTACTAAATCAATTTTTAATAAGACAGCTGTCAGCATTAAATATTGGAGGTTCTATACAAATTCCGAAATGTTTCACAGTTTGTCAAAATTATACACTAGAAACTTTTTACACTGTTCAGCTGATTAGGGCACTTTGAAACTTAATAAGCTTATTGTATTGTTACAATCTATCATCATAAATGATTTAATGTAAGTTTTGGTTGAACTTATGTGTGTATTTAATTAAAGAAGTTGCATTGCACATTTTTATGAAGAAAATTCATGAAAAATCGTTTTTCATATTAAAAAAGGACAATTGAATGTTATTTCTTTTGCAACAATATTTGAAATAATGATACTTAAAGCAAACAATGATGAATTAAAACAGAAAGTATTAATTGGATGAGACATAAAACAATAAAATGTCTTAAAATGCGGCATATATATTACTACTATTTTTTTTACAAATAGCATAAATCATAAACAGCAGATGTAATTTTCTATAAATCTATATTACATTAACATTACAGAATTTGACGACACATTTACTTCACCACATACCTGAGGGGTTTATGGATTTTGGACCATTATATGATAGGTGGTTGTATCCACTAGAAAGAGCAAATAGCTGGATAACAAGACAGATTTTACAGCATGGGCATGAAGAATCTACAGTCATGCAAACATACTGTGTAAGCAACTATTCAATAGACCATTTTCATATTACCAACTTTTGGCTCTAGGTTCTACAATTATTTGACAGGTTTCCTACTCTGTGGTAAGACATTCTGGTACTCGGTCAATAACGAGCAGCCAAAAAAAGTAATATCAGATATATGATCAGTGCAATTTTTTGGGGAAATTTACTATTTTCGGATTATTTAGTCATGTATAGAAAGCATTTAAACAGTTAACTTTCCCTCAAAATTGTACCAATCAAAATCTTGAATTTACTCATTTATGTTGCTCTTGCTTGACTGAGTACCAGGATGTCCTGCCACAGAGAGGGTAACCTGTGGAAAAAAATATTGATTCCATTGCCGAAAGTAGGTAATATGAAAATGGACTATTGAAACTAAATTAATTAAATTCCAATCTTATAGAATCATTTTCATAACAGCCTGAACAAAACAATTTCTTGGCGCACTCAGGTTATCAATTGACTGGGTCAGATTAGAACGTTCGTCTGTAATGCTCGCTTGTCATATCGTACATGTTATAGGCATTTAAACAGTGGTGTCGCCAAAGGTTGAAAATGCCTAAATCAAATAATATGAATAACTAGCAGAGGACTAAACCTTGTGTGTTGAATTAAATATTGAATAGTTAAACTTTCTTTTTTCTTCTCATGCACCTGAATGTACTTTACTCTTTTATTCTATTTAAATCCCGATTCGAAATCCTCTAACGAACTGATTGAGCATAAAATCACTGATATCAATAGGCGATGACAAACAAGTTAAACATAAATGATTCAGTAATATTACTGACATAAATATTGTGGTTGTCCACTCTGTTATGAACAAGATTCAATCTCTGAACATTGGATTATCAAGATATCATTCTCATTCAAAATGATAACAGATTCATGTTGTCCATTTTACTTGAATAATTGATTATACATGTAGAAACAAAGTGGTATTTGGTACAATTTTATTTTCCTCGCAGGGCCCAGTTATGAAAGAGAAAAAAACAGTTTCAAAAATGTGAACCACAATGTCAACAACAATGAACATGCTGCAATGAATTGTTAATAATAAAACATTAAACAATGAACCATGCACACGAGTGCAGTCAGATTAAACCTGCCAGAGAAACAAGCATACTTTCTATACACCAAATAAAGATAAACATTTATACCTATTCAAACAGATCGCCAACTATTCCGATTTTCATGCCTCAACCTCAAACCTGATATCGGGATCATAAAACAAGTTGAAAACCCGAAAAATTATTGGTTACCGATTTTGAAGTTTTTCTGATCCGTTTCTATAAATCTATAATTTTACATGGGGACATATTTTATGACAACGCTGATCAATGGTCACAACAGGTGTCATAATTTGTTGTTACATGTAATCTGATTATCTGATAGGTCATAACAATCGTCAAAATTAATTAATTTGTAAACAGAATCAATTTATCATACGATCACAATTTGCAGCGTTTACCGTATTTTCATGAAAAAAATCATAAGTAACTACTGAAAGACGAAAACTATAATGAACTCATTAGAAAACAGCATTGATCTTGAATTCCGTTAAAATTTTGAAATCTGACGTGTTTCTGTCCAGTCCTGATGTAAAATTGACGCCATTTTGTATTCACTTCTACCGTGTATAAGCCTTCGCCAGTAAAAGCACCTTTGATCAGAAAGAAAGATAACTAAAATTTTATCCATTTTCTCATTAATACTGATAGATTAACTCAAAATCTGTCTTCATCTACATCCTTCTAACTTTAGGACATTTAGGTTTAGGTCATTTGAGTCATGGTGCAAAGATAAGGAAGTCTTTGGAGGGGGAAAGGGGGTTGGGGGGGGGGGGGGAGAGTCTTCACTTTGTATCCTTTATTTATTAAGGCCATTTTTCTCTATTCTTTAAGTTATTTTGCCAATTAATAAGTACAAGAATCATGCAACTAAAGAAATCAAGGCTCACTAGCTCATCATCAGTTTACCAAAAGGAAAAAGAAGAAAAATGAGACTATTTCAAGAGTAAAAAATAGTGCATACAGAAACGCCGCAAAAATTGTAACCCTTATTAATCTGGTCTTGCACTAAATCCCCCATGGAGATTTTCAAAAGTTGGCATGTCTGCACAATATATGAAAAAGCCCTATATTTTTGAGTATAAAAAATGGGTTGGGTAATAGAACTCCAGCGTCACCCCTTATCAAATGAGTATTGGAGTGCCCCCTCCCCCCCCCTCCCCCAATTTTGACTGATTAAAAAGGACTATGTATACAGTATAACAAAATAAATAGGATTTTGATAATAAGTTATGTCATCAGTCATACAGTTTAAATAATCTATTACAATTCAATTTTGTTTTATTATCATTTATCTTTTCTTCAGATATATGACTGGAGTGTTTTCAATTTGCTCAATAGAACAGTAAAATCTGACAGTAGCAGGAAGAATGCACTCCATAAAGTTGCAGAGAAAGTTCTGCCACGTGAGGAATATCCTGCTACCAGTGTCAATAGTATATTATCCAACAGCTTATTACCAAGGGAGGACATTAAAAATCTACATTGTAGATACAAAGAAATTTTTACAAACTTAGAGTTTGAACCATTTGAGATAGATCCAATAGTAGAGAAGAAAAATACAGTGTTCAGATATGATGAAGACCGCAAGAGAGAGGTGTATTTCACTACTTATTTGTATCAGTCAGTGTCTAGATCATGTGACTACATTGTATGTGTAAGACATCCAACAATGCTGTTTGGAAAAATCAAGCAGATATACCAACACTCTTTCATGGACAATGTCTTTACTTGGGTACAACTAGATGTATTTCCTTTACCAGAGGCAAGTGGATCTTTTTGGTTTTCAGAGAATGTAACCTTAACTTCAAAATTATGTCTTTTGAAAGATATCAGCAATCCTATTGTCACAGCAGTTGAAGATGGTGTTATTTGGTTTTTAAATGCTTAAACCACATGTTAAAAAGTTAATTGTTGTATATGTTGTGTACAAATTATAATTTGTACAGACTTTTTGTACAAGTTGTCAGTTTTCTGTGAACATCTTTACATAAATAGATAAAATTATAAGCATACTGTCTTTGGTTATGCCTATCTCTGTCATTATTTTAATAATAACTCTATGCTACAGTCTTGTATATAGAATTTCAAGAACGTTTTTATACAAGAAGACTATATGGTATTTTGTGAACATCTAGTCAAAGAGGACAGCACTTAATTATAGATCGAAGTATATAAACTTGCTTGCAAACATAGAGCTGGATATTTTAAGAAAATAGTCTTGTAGCACCTTCTGAAAGAATGGGTATAACAAAATACTGATGACCTTTATAAATTATAATGTTTTCAAAAAGTGATGATAAAAACGACTGATAATTTACTTGATGCTTTGTTAGAAATTTTTTTTTGTAAGAAAGTGTATTACTTCGCTGACTTACAATGACTAAAATGTGCTAATTAAACTTGTATATAATTTATGATTCCTGTACATGTGTCAATCATATATAAAGTTTTATTTATTGAACATGTTTCAAATCTGTTGATAGTTATTTAACAGATATTTAATAACTTCATAAGGTATGCCTGTGCCATGTGCAAGGATCTCTGTAAATTGAAGTTTTCCTAATTTAGATAAATGAATATGTCAATAATTAGACTGTGTTTGGTATGCCCGTGCTTTGTGCAGGGTACCTTTGTACTTTCAAATTTTCCTATTTGAAATAAATATTTTTTTTTGGTGGACTGCGTTTATGGTATGCCAATGCCAATGCCTTAAATTAGAATCAGTAAACATGTAAGTCCATTTGAAAAAGCTGTTATACAAAAAAAAATGATTTTTTGTAGTAAACAATTCATAAATTTATTTAAAATACCTTTTAAGACATTTTTCTCTTTCTTTTTTGAATATTTGTATCATATCATGTTTAAATTCTTTTAAATTGGTGAAATCCTAATGAATTTAAATTTCCTACCATGAAAACTTCATCAAGAGTGAACAGACTAGAAATCACATCCTTTGATTATCTTGTTATTATTTCCATTTTAGGGATTGGATATATTATACTCTAAAGTCTAAATATATATTTATATATATATGTATATTATATTTTGTATATAAGTGTTGATAAATGTTGAATTGACGATTATATTATGTTTATTGTGAAATTTTGGTTCAATGCTGTAATAAATACATTATGGATTTTAAATTGTTGTTCAAATTTCTTGCAAAGAGAAATAACTGTTGTTAAATATAGCTCCTAAATTGATGAAATACAGTAGAAAGGTACAGAAATAGGTCTAGGTTGGTCAAGACTAGGTCGAGTATGATTCAGACTAGGTCGAGTATGGTTCAGACTGGTCGAGTATGGTTCAGACTAGGTCGAGTATGGTTCAGACTAGGTCGAGTATGGTTCAGACTTGGTCGAGTATGGTTCAGACACACATAAAATGGTTAAGTACTGGTCGAGTAAAGGTCGAGTACAAGTTCAGACTGTTAAGTATGGTTCAGACTACAGTCGAGTACTATCTAGTACGTTTCAGATTAATTCAGACTGGTCGAGTAAAAATCAGTACAGTCGAGTACAGATATAGGCCATTTCAGACTTTTTCTGGTTTGTAGTGATAGTCACATTAAAAAATGTCACCAGGTCACTTTAAAGAAAATTTGCCTGTTATTATCATTTATTATGACTATAGCATTCACGGTTTTGAACATCTGAAAGGTCGCAGGTCTATTTAAATGAAACATCCGGTCACCAAGTCATCATAAAAACCTCAAAGGTCGCAGTTTGGCTTTGACCACTTTCAATAATGGTTCAAAGCATGAAATTGCATCGACCTCTTCACGTCCCTCTTATTACAACTTTCACACACTGATGTTATACTGTACTTGGATTCTTCATTGTGCTAAATAAAAATTCTAAAAGTGTTTAATTATCTCTGTTCAATTCATAAACCTTTTATCGTCTGTCCAGTGTTTTCTTATAGGAGTTATTGCTCTTAAATGACGATTTATTTTACTTGAAAACAATAACAGATAACGAGAAAATGCAACTATAAATGTAGTTTTATAGTTCAAATTGCATCGACCTCTTTTTTTAATCAGTGACGCTCATTGTTATATTATAGTTCGTTTCTGTGTGTGTAACATTTTAATGTTGTGTTTCTGTTGTGTCGTAGTTCTCCTCTTATATTTAATGTGTTTCCCTCAGTTTTAGTTTGTAACCCGGATTTGTTTTTTCTCAATCGATTTATGAATTTCGAACAGCGGTATACTACTGTTGCCTTTATTTATATGGATTAAATCTTCAGTCGACTCTTTATATGAGTTAATATCCTTGCATGACAATTTACACCAATTTTTATTTTATTTTGCATCAACTTTTATAGCAAATAAAAGAACCATCGATTAGTTTTGACTTTGAACGAGAATTTTTATTCGTATTATTTGGTTTTTATTGTTACGTTATATATATAATAGTAGATAAAGAAAAACTGTAAATTGCAAATCTTAGCATTAGGAAAAAACTCATCATAGATACCAGGATTGAAATTGTTAACACCAGACGCGCGTTTTGTCTACAAAAGACTAACCAGTGACGCTCGAAACAAAAAAGTAAAAAAGGCCAAATAAAATACGCAGTTGACGTTTTTTTAAATTAGAAAAAAGAGGTGAGTAATAAGAAAATGTCAGTATAGTCGATAGTTATGCTTAAGTTGGGATACCCCTCTTTATAACAACTTTAACTGGATTCCTGAAAGAGTTCCCTCGTTCTGGATGTACCGTCATCAGGAACGCTCAAAGCCGAATATTTGAGAGCCAATGATGTATAAGCACCGAAAAGAACCTTTAAAAAATAGCCAAATCCATCTCAGGCCAACTTTGCCTAAGTGAGTCGAGACCTTATGTTGAAACTTTAAGGTGCATGATTTTATGCCCAGCGTTTAATAATAGTTTTTTGTTTGGCACATACAGAATATTGAGGGCCCGGGGTTAAACATGTTTGCATGTTTGCTCTCGCCAATCCTCCCTAACCCCCACCGCCCACTTCCCCTATAACCAGGGACAGTGGTGCAATAGTACATCATAAGAATAAACTATAAAAATTAGTTGAAAAGGGCTTAACTCATTAGATCGATACAAAGCACAAAAACACAAAAAACACAAAGTACAGATCTGAGATTACTCGCAGTTACTAAAAGTTGATTCACAGCCAATAACAACTAATAAAAAAAATCATGTATCCAAGACTAAATTATCAGTCATTACACATTACACATCCAACATCGAATTCATTTAGTGTAAAAACGTTGTTAAAAAGTCAGAGAAAAACATTTTGTACATTGCTAATAAAAAAAAAAGGCATCGACAGATTGTAGGACTGTGAATTTGTGTATAACAATAACATTTAGTTAAATTTTAATTTATTGAAAACAAAATCATTTATACCGATAAAAACAATATTCAAAGATCGAACCGTGTTGAATTGATAACCTTTTAGAATAGGTTTATTTAAACGATCCATCACCGTAAACATAAAATGTGCTATCCCGTTTGTACAGGTACAACCAAACTTACAAACCAAATCTTTTCAAACGTATGCTTTCTTACAATAGGAAATACGAAATTTCAGCGTAATGGTTTATCTATTAAGAAAAATATAGTGCTTTCGTAGATGTACAAGAACAGAAATGTGTAAATGCAGCAACATAAATAGTAATCGAAAGGTGCCTATAAATGTAGATAAGTTTTTTGTTGTCAAGATGAACATTTGTTTTGTCCCATCCAAACATATAATTAACAGGAAAAGATCTGTTTGATTCAGTCGTTGCCGTCAGTTGCTGTCTGCCATATTTGATATTCTAGAAAATACCAGTGAACAAAACAAACCCGATGATAAGTCTTATTTGATAGGCCACATTTACATTCGAGGAAAACGCACGGCATTGTTGTCATGACTAAAGGAACATATCCATCATCATAAAGGAGAAAGGTATTCCATAACGATCAACTAAATCGGTATGGCGTCTGTAACATTTTCAAATGGATGATTTCAACTTCACCACTAGGAACTCTTAGTTAAATGGTTTCCTTGTAACCAGCAACCTATATCAAGGAAATCATGATAGGAAATGCAAGCTCTGGAATACCGTATAAATGGCGCTTTATATTAAATCATGTTTTTCATAATATATTGTATTGTTGTAAGTTAACTCTTGTTTAGCAGACGATATTCTAACTTTATTAAAATGATTGAATGCGTAATGATAAAATCTTATTAAAAGGCCACGTGCTACATTACACTTGTATTGTTACCTGCTGTTTACCTATGTTTTACGTTGATCTTTTAATTTTGATGCGAACTGATTTCATAATTTTATGACGATCAAGATTATATATAGCATTATCGATATAGCAAAATTGAACAAAATCCTTTCTTAGTGCTTTTACCAATAACACACACATATATATATATATATATATATATTGCGGTTTTTATCCAACACAATCATAGGTTTGAACGTTGTTTTCAATTTAGACTTGTTTGTATTTTTTCGTTTTGGGCTTGTATTATATTTGCCTTCGGGTTTATATGATCAGTTCATCCTATTTTGCCTCCTCAAAATTCATGAGTCTATCCTAAATTGAGGTAAATTGTATGGCTTTCCAAATACCGTTTCGATTCTTAACATCACTGAAGAGACATTAATTGTCGAAATCCGGATATGGTGTACAAAAACCTTTGCACCTTTTGTTTTCGGTATATCATCTTTTCCGCAAGTTTATTGTTTTCTGTTTAGTATTTAATTTATAATTAAGATCCAATTATGACATCGGGATCCATTTATTTGGCAATCGCCAATGGCAGTCAGCAGGGTTTAAGAACATTTGTTGTTCGACCTTAAGTCAAATGCGTTTTGTTAAAATATACTTTTTCACTTTTTTGGGCTTTTGGAAAATGTTGTTTTTGCTGTATTTAGACCCCTCTAGCAAGAAATTTGATTTGCATGCACACGTATAAAAATTGCGGTTTTTATCCAACGCAATCATAGGTTTGAACGTTGTTTTCAATTTAGACTTGTATATATATATATATATATATATATTTCTCAAAACCTACCATGTACATTACAATGATTTGTTTGTTTCGTATAATTCGAAAGAAATATTGTCTTTATTTGTGTGTAAGATGTGGGTGCATTGCATTCCTAATTGGTTCAACGTTAAGAATAAATACAGAAAAGGCATACACTTTTCGAGAACAGGAATACGTGTCACGTTGTAATCTTGAATTGCTATCTAAATTCAACGATTTTCTTGTGGAGTCAGAGGTTTGTAAAATACGTAGAGTGAATCCCTTTGACCAATCTACAAAAGAATTTTTACCTTATGATCCACACATATCATTATGCAATGACAGTATTTTGTTAACATATGTTGACAATAACATTCTGTATATAAATTTCACGAAAGCCGAAACCAAGTCAAATATTGTTCATATGAACCCATATATTACATTAGTAGTTCGTTCAAACTCGGTAAAATCAGCGAGAATTTCAAAAAATCTGTTCGGGTCAAAGATGAATTTATAAAAGTTCAATGTTTTGATTCCTTTAATAAAGTCATAGCTATGAATTTCCACACCGTATTTGTAAAAAAAGTTCTAAACCGGAAAGCCGCTGACATACGAAAACATGTGGTTCAAGGGAAAAATATACCTAATAAAAGTTATCATCGAAAAAGCCGTCTAAATGTGTTACTCATAATGTTAGAGTCGACTTCAAGAATTAATTCTTATCGATACTTACGCAAGACTAGGAAGTATTTGTTGAAAACATTAGACGCAACAGAACTACTTGGATATAACAAAGTAGCGTTAAATACTAGACCAAATATGGCTGCTTTGTTGACTGGAGATTTTTTAGAAAACTTATCGTGCTTTAAAGATAAAGAAGGAGTTGACCAATGACCATTTATTTGGAAAGAGTTTTTATGGACACCATCACGAATTGGTTGATCCGTACAATGTGTCTGTGTCTAAACTAACTAAGGACATGTTTTCCACGTCTTAGATTATGGTTTACCATTTACGTCGTTTTTTTACGCCTGGTTTTTGAAGTACCGAACGTGACCTATTCCCGAATATGACTGTTTTACTGAGTGTTAATTCACATTGATATAAGACGTGTCTCTGTATTTGTTTATCCGGCGTTCATGTATTTAGTTACGAAGTTTTATTTGTAATTCTGATCGGATATTGTTTTGTGTCTTATCGTTTGTAGTTGTGATTCTATCTTTTATTTTCTATTCGTAAAAGTAAAGATAAATAATCACCCAGTTCATTTGTATGATTTTAGTTTAAATCAACTATGTGCACAGGATTTATTTGTTTTTCACAGTTTGATTTGGAAGAAAGGCCGACATAGTTAGTTGCACTATGACTAACATAATTCTATTATTATATATTTGTGATTGCTATAAAATATATCAAATAACATTATTAGAACCCTAATCTTGATTTATATCCAATTTTTAGAAATTTTCCTGTGACGTTCCTTTTGTGACGTTGATCCATTCGTGTTACAGACACACACTTCGTAATTCCATTAAGCTGTTTGTGTGTACTGTTCTTAATTATTTAAGTTATTTGTTGTTATTCTGTGGTTAACATGTCGAAATGTACTATTATATTTTTTATTTATGTATTTCTCTGTCTTTTGTGTTTTTACATTTATTTGTACTCTGTTCCCGTCATGTATTGTTGTCATTTTTATAATAGTGGTATATTTAACATTGCCATAAAGCGCGGAGGTTTGGCTAGCCACAAAACCAGGTTCAACCCACCATTTTTTCTTATAATGTCCTGTACCAAGTCAGGAATATGGCAGATGTTATTCAACAGTTCATTTCTATGAATGTTGCATTGTTGTTTGTTTTTTGTTGCACTTCTGTGTTCTGTTATTTCGTTGTTTTCCTCTTATAGTTGATGTGTTTCCCTCGGTTTTAGTTTGTAACACGGATTTGTTTTCTCTCAATCAATTTTTGACTTTTGAACAGCGGTATACTACTGTTGCCTTTATTTGCCTTCGACTCTTCAAAAAATGTGACGCGCCGTGTTTACCGTATCGAAACAGATTTGAATATGTTTAGAGCTTATTCATATATATTACACATTCTAAGAATAGTAAAAAAAAGGAAAGTGTTCAAGAGTGAAAAAAGTGAAGGTCATTCCAATAATTGTCGTGTAAAGAGAAAAAAAAGTAACAGTTTCTCTGTATTTATTTAACCGTTAAAATATGATATTTAAGTTTGGTCTTTAACAAATAAAAATCCTTGGGTGTTTTACTTATCATAATACACCTTAAATTGTGAAATTTCATTTACTCTGTACGCTGAGCCCTATTATTTAACATACTGTGAATCCAAAAAATGTAATATATGCGAAAAATGACATACGCGACGTTATCTTAGAGTAAAATAATATACAGTGACCTTGGTATTCCTTTCAAGGTATCTGCGGGGTATTTAGGGGGAGTCATAGATGCCTGTAAGTTGTGTAAGAAAATTGAAATGTCAAACGGTGTAAAACGAATACTATTCATATAGTTCCATTCCTCACCTGGTAATCTACAAAATATTAACTGTAATACATCAATTGAACAATTTATAACCTTACTACCTTTTAAGATGACGCATAAATTAACATACCAATGTTCCCGCAAATATTATGATATGTTAACATAAAATACAGCAATGTTTACCGTAGCTCATTTACCAACCCAGTGAATGAGTTGCAATGCATAATGGACTACATGAACTATGTCCTTAAACTTTACAGAGAGGAGGTGTTTTACTGTCCTATAGCAAACATTTTCACAGATTACAGAAAAAAAACATACTACGTTTTCTTTTTTGTAATTACATTTACAGACCATGGTATAAAGCATTAGTTCCATGCTCAGATTTACGAACAACTGTTCCAAGAAAAGAGTGTTTGAAATACCTGAAATATAATTAAGAAAAAGGACAGCGCACACAGATGTTTAAAACATTAGTTCGCGTGAGAGAAACTAATCGACAAGAAAACTTTAAAACATATATGTACATGGTGTACTTCCATTTTGATTGTTTTAAACGAGATGCTCCTGAATCTTTATAACTTCGTCGTAAAATTTGGTAAACGAGCGTCAGGTTTCTGTAAAATAAAATCAAACTGACTTCTGTCTCGGTTTAAAGCAAATTATGAGATTGCAAGAAGTTGCGTTTTGTATGACATAGTTACATACTTTGAGTTTTTTTTTTTCATTCATTATTTTGTTAGACCTTACTACTCATGGTTTCATAACATATGGACAACGAACCCAAAGAGAGGCAGAAGATACTAACAGGACTTGCAAACTCTTTAGTCGAAATCAATCTGAAAAAGACATTAAAAAAACAAAAATGATCAAAATACAAAAAACAATCTACAAAACACAACATAAAACAACTAAAGACTGAGCAATACGGACAAACACTAGATTGATCACAGGTGCTCCGGAAGAGTAAGCAGATCCCGTTCCCATTTGGAATCCGCCGTGATGGTTACGCATGTACGTAAACATTCGGTGATGTTAAATTGGAGGGAAATATAATTGAATTACGATTAAGACAATTGGTACATATTTGTTAAACAGGTATTTCACACCAATCTTAACTGTGACTTTAAGATCGAGAACAAAAACAGCATTGTTCCTTACATTTAGTTGTTTTTCATATACGCGTAGCGATTTTGTGCCTTGAATTGAAACACTATTTTCTTCCTTTCCATAGTTTTTCTAATATATACGGGTACTAATATAATCATTGTTATGATGTTATCGCATCTTATTTATCAAGGGTAAAAGAAGATATAGTGTTTACGTCAATGAGACACCAACTAAACGATAGAAATGACAAAAAATATATCTATAAGGCAAAATACAGTCTTTAACAAAGAAGAGTTTCTGCACAAAATGTCAAGCTCTTAGACTTTACACTGGCAAAAATGCCACACATGTGAACATGCGTGACACATGCGTTTCACATGTGTGTCACATGCATGTGAAAGAGACGTTTCATGCCACGCATGTGACACATGTGTGAAAAACACATGTGATACGCATGATACACACATGTGATCATGCGTTTCACATGTGAATTACATGCGTAAGGAAATACACCTGTGATACATGCGTGATTACTACATGTAAAAGGCATGGTGCCTGTATTAAATATTTTTCAAAATGTCCTCCTATTTGTCCAATTACCATGATTGTTGACATGTATTTCAGTTCTCATGTGAATTACATGCAATTTCTAACAGATTTTTCTAACACATGCGTTATACATGTGTTTTCTCTGGCAAACACAGGCAAATTTTGTTCACGTAAATTTCATGTAAGATTCACCTCCAACAAGTTTATACATGAAACTCTCGTGCAATTAATGTTAAATTTTTCATGTGAAACTAACGTGAATCAAGCTTTCATGTTAATTTTTCTTAAATGTAATTAAGGTGAATTGAGCATCAATCACACAAATTCACAGTATTTGAGCATATTTTAGATAAGTTAATGCTAATCTAGTACACATTCTATTTTGATATATATAAATATTTTTCTTTGTCTTGACTATGTGTTTGTACTTCCATTATATTTTACTTTCTTGATCCTAAACAATACAAAAAATATTTATCTATCAACTCCCAACGCACAATATCTCCAATGCAAGAGATAAGATGCAATAAAACAAAGAAGGCAAGCAAATATCCAGGTCACCTTAGTTCACTCCTAGAATTTTTTTTCGGTTATGTTCAAGTCTCAATACTTTTTTTAAAAGTGATGTAAGGATTGGTGATTCATTTAAAGAATATGTATGCACTAATGTATATTTCATTTTTAATATGTATGTACAAGTCATTTTGTGGTTATCAGTCATGAGACAATCCAATCACATTATGGAAATTGTCTTACTTGCAAAAGATGCCAATTTTTCTTTTGAAAGTTTTGAAGAAAAAAAGTAGTTCACTCTGCCACATATCCATGTGCCTGTTTCAAGCCAGGAACCTTTTCAGTGGTTGTCTAAAGTCTCATCCAATAAAAAAAAAATATTTAAAGAATTTGATGTTGATGGCAGCTCTTTGATTGGTATAGACTCTGGTAAATTAAGTAGATCATGACATTGTTTAGACACCTGTTCATTGTTGAGGACTGTATGTTAGCATCTTAATGCCTTTCATGTGTTTTTGTTGTGTAGCTGTCTGATTTATTTATACCTCATATCTCATTGTATTAATAAACTGAAATAGAAAGTTCTGTGAAATATATTTTGATATACCATATTGAAAGTCTTGCTGTTATTTACAACCATTAATATTTCCTTCTTATTTCATATATGTATTTCAGTTTTATATTTTAACACCAATCTTAAGGTTAAGGCAAAAAGAAAACAAATGTTGATAAACAACAGGCATATACCATTAGAAGATCTCATAGTTTGGCTGCACAATAAACTAAAAATTCTTGTTATTTCAAATATTTATATAAAATTCAGTTTAAAACATGCATTTTCCATTTTTAGAGTGTAATTGTCATGTTGGCACAATAATTTGAATTTGAATTGTATTATATTCTGAGAGTACTTGTGGTTGAAAAAATATACACAATATTTAATTCCATGTGTTTTAGATTTCTTGAATACACCCCTCCCATATAATGACTACATGTCTGTTAGTAATGTTTAAGAGTTCTCTCCTGCATGTAATTGCTGTAGTTGCTATTTGTACCCAAGGCTTCCTTCATACAGTTGCACATATCCTTCTAAGATATTGCTTGAATGATAAAATCCTGTAATACATTATCAGCCATCAGACTCTTGGAATACAGTTGCTGTAATAAAAAAAAATAAACTGTAATCACAGGGATATGTCTCGCTTTTTGGTAATTTCGATAATGCAAATGTTGAAATGAAAATAGCAACACTTTAACATGTAAGATTTGAAAATATTCAAAGTCAATGAACCATGACTGAAGGTACATGGCTAAACAATCTCCATGGAAATTAGATGTGCCAATGCTAATACAACGCAAAACCTAAACACAAACTAATACATGTAAACTAAGAAAATTTTAAAGTCAATAAACGATAACTTAGGGGGCGGGGTCAAATAAACTCCATGGTAATGAGATGTGCAAATGCTAATACAACTGCATACCAAATATCATTGACTTACCACTAGTGGTTTCCCATGAGCCGACCTAATCACAAACTAATACATGAAAACTAAGCAAAAGTTTCAAAGTCAATAGACCATGACTGAGGGGGCAGGGCCAAATAATCTCCATGGAAATGAGATATGCCAATGCGTATACAACTGCATACTAATTATCATAAACTTACCACTAGTGGTTCCCCATAAACTGACCTAGTCACAAACTAATACATGAAAACTAAGTAAAAATTTAGAAGTCAATAGACCATGACTGAGAGGGCGGGGCCAAATAATCTCCATGGAAATGAGATATGCCAATGCTTATACAACTGCATACCAATCATAATTAACTTACCACTAGTGGTTCTCCATAAACTGACCTAATCACAAACTAATACATGAAGACTAAGCAAGAGTTTCAAAGTCAATAGACCATTACTGAGGGGGCAGGGCCAAATAATCTCCGTGGTAATGAGATGTGCCAATACTAATACAACTGCATACCAAATATCTTCAACTTACCACTAGTGGTTCACTATAAACTAGACCTAATCACAAACTAATACATTGTTGACGCCGCCGTCGTCACCAACACAAGAAACAGCATACCTATGTCTCGCTTTTTGACTTTGTCAATCGAGACAAAAACAGCATATATTTTTTGTAAAACATACATCAAATATTGGCTTACCAATCAGGCAAAAATGATAACATCAATTTAATCTCCAATGATTTACCAAACTTACATATATATATATATCATGTGAACAACTGGAGTGGAATATAATAGTTGTTGTTTATCATATTTATTTTTCATTTAATGTCTTTTACGTAAATTAGAATTGTTTTACATCTGTCATTTCAGGACCTTTTATAGCTTGCTAGATGCAGTATCAGTTTTGCTCATTGTTGAAAGCTGTTCATACAGTGATCTATAGTCATGATAGTTGCTAACATTCAGTCATTTGGACTCTGGTGGATAGTTGTCTCATTGAATTGGCAATAATACTACATCTTCTCATTTTTATCAAAATAAATTAATAATGAAAACTAACTCTATTCATGCATGTGTACTACACATTACCTGTATATATAGTATATACTAGAATACTCCCGGGACATCATGGGTCGTGACTGAAGCAAAGTACCTTAGCATTATTTTTAGCCTGGATTTTAAGTTTTCGTTTTGTCATTTAATAATGTCATGCTGGTCATTAGGTGCACAGTTTTCTCTGCTTTCAAAATCTTTCTTTTTGAACCCTTCGACCCAGAACTTGTTAATTATCTGTAGTAATAATTATGTGGAAAACAAATGGGCCTGGAATGGTGTAATTTTTAATCAACACCATTGTCCTTATATATAAGTTATATATAAAGTTGAATTCTTTGAATCATCATTTTTATGTCATGCCGGCTCACAAATTGGACCTTGTTATTTTATTATTATAGATCTAGATTACTAAGTGCCTATAGAAACACAATTCCTCATTTTTCAAGCCCCTTTCTTACATGTCTTAACCTCAATTAAATTACAATACCAACTAAAGGCTACAAGGAGTCTATGTCGCTCACCTGATATTTTTTTTATTTTACAATCGATGCATGAAATAATGCAACCGTTATACTTTTGCTTTAGTTTCAAAAATATGTCAAAAACTGCATTTTTCCCCCTATGTTCTATTTTTAAACTAGATACCCTAATGCTTATTATGGCCAAATTTGGTTAAATTTGTCTCAGTTGTTTCAGGAGAAGACTTTTGTAAAAGATAACAAAAATTTACGAAAAATTGTTAAATTTTACTTTAAAGTGCAATATCTCCTTATGGGGTCAATTGACCATTTTGATCCTGTTGACTTATTTGTGAATCTTATTTTGCTGAACATTATGGCTGTTTACAGTTTATCTCTATCTATTATAAAGTTCAAGATAATAACCAAAAACTGCAAAATTTCCTTAAAATTACCAATTCAGGGGCAGCAACCCAACAACGGGTTGTCTGATGCGTCTGAAAATTTCAGCACAGATAATTCTTCACATGATGAACATTTTTAACCCTGTCAGATTTGCTATAAATGCTTTGGTTTCAGTGACATGAGAGATATAAGCCAAAAACTGCATTTTACCCCCCATGTTCTATTTTTAGCAATAGCGGCCATCTTGGTTGATGGGCAGGGTCATTGAATACATTTTTTTAACTAGATACCATAAGGATGATTTAGGCCAAGTTTGGTTTTATTTGGCCCAGTAGTTTCAGGGGAGAAGATTTTTGTAAAAGTTAACGGACGACGAAGACGACGGTGACGGACTACGACGGACGCCAAGTGATGAGAAAAGCTCACTTGGACCTATTGGGCCAGGTGAGCTAAAAATGGTATGTCTATAGCTCTATGCATTCTGTAAACATCTAGTTACAAAATTTGTGATTTATCTTCTATAGGGGTATAAATCAAAACTCCAAATGCTCTGCAAATTGTTTATCTGCACTACTTTTTGATTACCTCTGCTGTGGAGGTTCATTATGGTTGAAATTTGCTATGAAAGCGGGAATTTGTAAACATTTCAGGTGAAAATCAAAATGTTCTGAAACTTTTTGGTGATGTTGCAGTTGTTTGTATATACATTTATTAATTATAATAGAAGAAAAGAGTTCCAATGTCCCCATTATTGTACATATTTTTTCTATTCAAAGTATAAGGGCAATAACTAAAAAAAGCACTTTTTTGATGTTAAAATCCAGCAGCTACCACCATTGACCTCCCTTTTTGTCGAGCCTTCGACTTTTGTCGAAAAAGCGAGACATAGCGATCCTACATTCCGTCGTCTGCGGCGTCCACAAATATTCACTCTGTGGTTAAAGTTTTTGAAATTTTAATAACTTTCTTAAACTATCCTGGATTTCTACCAAACTTGGACTGAAGCTTGTTTATGATCATAAGAAAGTATCCAGAAGTAAATTTTGTAAAAAAAAATTCTGTTTTTCCGTATTTTACTTATAAATGGACTTAGTTTTTCTTCCAATTAACATTACATACAGTCTACAGTTAAAGATTTAAAACATTTATTTGATTCATAAACCATCCTGGATTTTTACCAAACTTGGACAGAAGCTTCTTACAACCAAAAGATAGTATCGAAAGGAATATTTTTATTAATTTCTTTCTTCATTTTTGTTGAGCCTGCGATTAACAGCAAAAGTAGGCGAGACACTGGGTTCTGCGTAACCCTTACAAATTTTTTAAAATTGCCTTGGAATTCAGTACTTTTGTTATACCATTTGGAAATTAAATACTGTAACAAATACATACCAGTTACATTTATATATACTGTAGCTATAGGATCTCCTCAATATCTAATCCTGTTGTTAATTTCATTTAAACATATAATGTATATAGCTTCCCTTCCACTTACATCTGAGGTGCTAATTCTGAAAATTAAAATTCCTGTGATTATTATATAAAATCTGAACCTGATGCACTGCTTTCCAATAAAAATAAATTGGCAATACAGTTTTCCCTTGGTAAAGAGAGAGAAAACAAGTGATATTTTTATATTATAACCAATACTGCACATGGTAATTGGAACATCACTAGTTTCTTGGATTGGATTGTTGCTCACTTTGTCAGGATCTTTTATGCTGACTATATAGTATGGTTTTGTTTATTGTTGAAGGTCATACAGTGACCTAAATTTTTTTACATCCTCTTCGACTAATGGAAAGTTTTCTCATTGACAATCCTACCATACATTGTAAGACCTTATTTCTAAAATGCAAAAAATTTCAATCTGTGACAATAACATTTTATTAATTTAATAAGGTAATCTGATCAACATTATGAAGCAATGTTCAAAACACTCTGTCATTGTCTGACAGCGATCAAAGTAATTTTAACTCCTATGACAATGTACAATGATGTATATATGTGCAAGACTCAAAACTAAGTATCACAATTTAAATTCATACATATATCCATATACTTTTACAAGGTACTTAATAAATCATTGAGACTGACGCATAAAATGTAGGTAAAAAAATATGCTTTTTGTTGGATCCTGCATCATAATTATTACAAGTTAAATGGAGGCAAGTCATAATCATTGAGTACATGTACATTATATTTGAACTTAAAGTAAAGGATAATCTGAGTAGTCTCTAATCAGTTATGAAGCCACACAACACTGTGTGATAACAGTGACATATAAGTCTCCCATAGATGCACATACTATTATTTTAGGTCTTTTGTATACATATGTTTAAGGTTACTTAGAATTGGCTGTTGACATACATGTACACATGGACTGTCAGGCATGGAGTCATTGGACCCTAGGTTACTCCAGTCCATTATCAGTCACTATCAATAGTCAACTCCTCTGTCCATTTGTTGTAATACAATGTACTGCTGAAAGGGAGAAAACAGTACTTTATTAATAGCATGTGGATGCAAGACTATAATAAGTATTCAAAGAGTTTTGCAAACAATTAGCTTATACATTTAGAAGATATCTGTATTTACCTAGTGATGTGACAGTAAAATCAAGATTAACGAAGGCCAATCTTAAAATACAATACAGTTATCTACATTCTAATGCAGCATATTAAAATAAATACCATTTAACAAATATTGTGAGAAATTACATACCAAAAAAAATCAGAATTCAAAATGGTGGCTTTCTTAGTTACGGACTGGTAGAACGTGGAATTTTACCCCTTCAAAATATATATATGTCAAAGTCCAATGAAAATTATCATAACCAACGAATTGCATAAGAATTATTTTTTACTAATATTAAACTTGTATTATCAAATATCAAAAAGCAATGGAGTGAAGTCATAGAAGTTGCTAAGAACAATGAAGAAAAAAATAAAGTTAATTTTTGTCCCTTTGAACCTTTAATTTATGTAGGGGTTCAAAATAGTGCAAGTCTGAGGTCCGGGACCTGTCTTTTCTAGGAGGGGACTTTTTATTTTTAAATTACAAGTCAAGAACCTACCATTCTTAACACAGATTATATGCTTTTTTAAACAGAACCATTAAATTTCTTATGGAGGACCTTTTACTGGACTGAAAATTTCAAATAGTCCAGGACCTTTCATTTTTAATGCAAATTTGAACCCCTACATGTAGACCAATTTGAAAACCTGGCCCAAAATAAATAGACAGCTGCACCATGAGCACATGATACACCCATGGCTTAATCAAAGAATAAAGTTCAATAACTTTTCAATGTCATAATCAGACATTCATGAAAAACTAAAGGGAGGTTATCTTAATAGATATAAACCAGTCACCAAACGCAAAATCAATGAAACCCTTAAAGTATTTTGAAAAAGATTATTATTTTCATATACTGTTGATTCATTAATTTTCGTGGGTACCAATTTTCGTGGATTGATGAAAACTTGCATTTTCGTGGATATTTGATTTCGTGGTTTTTCAAAAATCTGCATATAATCATACAGCAAATTTGTAATTCGTTGAACATTTAAATTTGTGGTTTCCCTGTACCCACGAAATCCACGAAAATTGGTATCCAACGAATAATAATGATTCCACAGTAATATCAATATTTGGGCTTCAAAAATTACTCTGGTTTATATTTAAAAAGGATTTGAAAAATAACCCCAAGTGAAACATAGTTTAGACATCTGATTGTGACACACCCGGATAACAAAATCAATATTAATACCAATAAAAACAATATTCAGTGAATGACTGAGGGATTGGGACCAAATAATCTCTATGGAAATGATAAGTGCATATCCTACTATAACTGCACACCAAATATTATTGACTTTATATATATAATTACCATAAGTTATTTCTTGGTTTCCTTAAACTGACCTCATCACGAATATCAACAAATTTTTTACGACTATGCCTCTATTGAAAACAGCATGCCTAAGCCACAGCTTCATAACTGTTGTGGCTAGACAAAAAAGAACAAGCAATATAGCGATTAAGAGAGCTTTGAATGCAATTTTCTATAAAAATGACCTGTAAAAAAATTAAATTTGTCACTTCTAACATGGATAATTTTCGAACTTGCCCACTACAAGAATCAAACTTTAAACTCTATGACCTCAAACTTTTAAAAAAATCTTCGAAACTACATGCACAGAGTCTGACAAGAACAAATTATTCAAACATAGTTATCATTTTCATTACATACCTTTCATCACAAAATTATTCATTGACTACTGCTCCTGTTTGGTGGTAAATACATTGTACATGTACCTTGTTTTTGGCTTTGAACTAGGTGTTAGTAACTGGGAGTACTCTCAGATCTGTACTTGGAGTCTTTTTTGTTGTGGGGATGTATAAATACCCACCACGTCTTGTGTGTGTTTTTGTTAGATGTCTTTCTGCTTTGTATAGATCTGATGAGTTAAGCCCTTTTCACATCAATATCCCAGGTTAGGAGGTGAGTTCGGCACCACAAACTACTAGTCTAGCCCCACATCTTGTACATTTGTATGTACCTGTCCTATGTCAGGAGCCTGTAATTCAGTGGTTCAGTTTGTCGTTTGTTGCTGTGTATCATATTTTGTTTTTTTTGTTCTTTGTTTTGTATATAAATTAGTCTGTTAGTTTTCTTGTTTGAATTGTTTTACAAATTTGTCATTTTCATTTGGGGTCTTTTATAGCTGACTATATGGTATGGGTTTGCTCATTGTTGAAGGATGTACAGTGACCTATAGTTGTTAACTTTGATGTCATTTGATCTCCGATGGATAGTTGTCTTTTCTCATGAGTGTAAACAATATTTTATTTTGAAAATAATTAGGTTATTTAAACATGACAGTTTTATTAGGATTGGAAAACAAGTGAATTTTCACTGACTTTTACCAATTCCTCTCTTTTCTCATTGGCAATCATACCACATTTTCTTATTTTTATATTTACATTACGTACATGTAAAGTAGACCTTTCATCTTCTCGAGGGGTCCGATTCCTAAGTACAACAGGGGGCCCTAACAGCATGATTTTGAGTCGGCTAAAAAACAATCAGATAGATTATGATACAATTAACAGGTTTCTTTGCAATTATTTTGCAAATAACTACATGTAAGCTAATGCGAGAATAAAGTTATTCTGCAATAACTACATAAATTAAATAATAGTAAATAATGAATCTACAATATTTTTTTAGAAGTGAAACATCATTTAAATTCAATAAATATCATATATTAATTTCAAATTTTTTTTTAATTCTGGGTAAATAAGTTTTCATTTTTTTAAAGTAGGGCGAGTTGGTAGACCTTTATAATATATTTTTTATATATTATATTCATTTGGATTTTACCCAAGTTAGGCGAGTTGCCACTGTTGGCAGAATCCATATCACGTTCGCCCCCTTTCACTTTCACACCCTACACGTTCGCACCCTACAATTCGCGCCCAATTTTTATTGGTTTTGTGTTTAATAATTTGTAAACGAGTTTTGGTAAGTGTATTGCTATAAATATATATGTTTTCATTGTTTCTAAATAAAGTGAGATTCTGACAAGGTTTTTTTTTGTGTCATGGTACTGACTGTATTACTATAAAAAAAAATTTTCATTGTTTTTAAATAAAGTGAGATTCTGAAGACCAGTATTTTATTTTTGTGTTGAATAATTTTTTATCATATTTTCGTTAGTGTATTGTTATAAATATTTTTTTTTTCATTGTTTCTAGTAAATAAAGTGTGAATCTGACAACGTTATTTTGGTGTTGAATAAATGGTAAGCATGGTAAGTGTATCGCTATAAATATTTATTTTTTTTCATTGTTTCTAAATATAGTGAGATTCTGACATCGTTTTTTTAATGTGTTGAATAAATCTTAATCATGTTTTGGTTAGTGTATTGCTATAAATATATCTTTTTTATTGTTTCAAAAGGAATTGGGATTCTGACGACGTTTTTTTTATGTGTTGAATAATTCGTAATCATGTTTTGGATAGTGCATTCCTATAAATATTTTTTTTTCATTATTTATGAATAAAGTGAGATTCTGACACACATGAGATCAAAGGAGCCAAGCTGTTAAAAACAATTATCTTTCATGTTTTTTAATCTTCAAAGTTTTACTCATACCAAGCTTAATACAAGCATTATTTACATCAAAGCAAGTTAAAACAACCATGACAACAATCATGATTTTTAAACACTCATCAATAACACCAAATTAGGCTGTGTATAAATACAAATTAGCAGTAATCATACATAATTAACATTTAATAATTCATCATCAAATCAATTTAAAACAATATTTCATTTAAAAATTCCCGAATTTTTATTTATGAAAATAAAAATATTTTGATATAAACATCTACAAAACATCTAAAAATTTATCAGGTTTTTGAATAAACTATAAGCTCTAAAGAGCCTGTTTCGCTCACCTTGGTCTATGTGCATATTAAACAAAGG